AGCATGTAACTATTGGGTTGTCGGAAAAGTCATGACACATTTTTGCAATGATAAACAGAAAAAATACGTCATGACTTTTCCAACAACCCAATATTTCATGGAATAGTTTGGCTGGCACTGATTTTTAGGGTAATTGACAATAGAATTTCTCAGTTGAATTTTGTTCTGCGTGTAACGGCCTGTTACTTTTTCTATAAGAAAATTAATCTTTGGCTTCTTCAAATCCTATTGTTTTTAATATTATGTATTTAAAAATATTTTTAATTCTTGACTTTATGATCTCTGCTTTCAAGTCCAGTATTTTGTTTTGCTAAGGGGAGATAGAAATTTCTCTTAAGGGAAACAAATGTGTTTAAAAAACATGTTGAACAGCAGAGGGCAGCAAATTTACTAAGCAAATAAGTGTATTTGCCCATGGTTACAACTTCACTTTGACTTCCACCTCAAGCAAATACGTAACAGATATACCAAATCCTGATTTAGAGAAATATATTTCTGTTACAGAATATGGAAAAGGGAGCAGGATATCTATCATCCTGCATCATACCTTAGCAACTTTCCATGAATTATGATTTTTAGATTAAAATAGAATAAAAATTCAATTTATAGTCACAATGGGCAGCTCTCTAGAATCCATGCCCCTTGAAAATAGCAGAGAAAACACCCAAAACAATGACAATTGGTAATTATCTATAACTTTGGAACGTAATGAAAGGCACACGCTTGAGCAGAGTTCCTTTACTTAATGGTAAAGGAACTGTAAAGTGGCAGAACTAGAATTTCCTCTTTCCTGGGGCTGACCTATCAAATCCCTTTCATCATGCAGCAATTAAGTGTGTTATGTAGCAACCTAGATCCACTGCTAAGGTACACAGAGGCCTTACAACTGTCAGTGATACACATACAGATAAACACTCACAATCCCACAAACTCAACACCTTGGACGTGTAACTTGAAAGCTCCTTTGAGTTGTATGACACAAACATGAACATTCAGAAACTCATTTAGGAAGCATGATTCTGCTTTAGTCCATTTGCTCATAAAAGACAGCAAAAGAGCAGAGCTACTATTGCATATCTTTTAACCTTTGTTGGTCTCTTCTCATTTTGAAAAACTCAGCAAACCTGTGCTTAAAACTAGCGTGTCATCAGTGTAGGAGAAAGTGCTTAAGAAGATCTAAAACTACAAATCACACATGATTCTTATGTAAAGGTAACCAATGGGTGAACAA